TCCGAGTATAGTACTACCCCCCAACTTTATGGATGATTTTATGGATTTAATTTTATGTATTATACTTGAATAAATACAGTAATTTTTTTCATTTTATAATTGAATAAATGCAAGTATATCCTGATTTTGGAATTTGTTGACAGTCCCTAAACACATCTTCCGGTGTTGCAAAGTTGATCTGTTTCCCAAATTACACTGTAAATAAAACTAACCTGCTGCACATAGATACCAAGGTTATTGTTAACCCATGTGTAAAACTTTGAAGCAGAGGGAACAAATACTCACTACCCTAATTTTTATTTATACCCACAAACCTTGTCTCCCCAACACGAAGAATTTAAATGACTTAAACATGTCCAAACATGTGTCAATGCATCTTTCTGATGATAATTATCTGTTATTTTAAAGTCACAAAAGTTATTTCTTGTCTCCTGTTCTGACTGAGTCCTTTCTGTGGGCTTTAAACTCACTGGTGGTGACTTTTTTGGATGTTTGGGGTCCTCTGGTGTCGTTCTTGATGATGTTGATGGAGACCTCATACTCCTGTCCTGGTCCCAGCCCAGACTGGAGGTACTGGTTTTGGGAAGGCAGGACAGTGCTCACCACTTTTCCATTTTCTTCTTTCTGCAGAGGCATATTGAGATGATGTAAAATGCAGAGGTATAGTAACTATGTACATTTATATTATTACAGTACTTTAGTTTTTGCAGAATTTGTAATTTTACCACTTATTTTTAGTCATAACTTTTACTTTAATTTTGTTACATTCAAAACCTATAAATAACACTTTTACTTAATTTAATTAAGATTTAACACTTAATTACATGAGACAAATTTTAAAATGACTGGAACTCAACATGAAAGGAGTTGTTTAGGCACTCTAAAATATAATTGTTCAATTTACTCAACTTGGTTTACTAGAATCAGTTTGCTGAAGTACAATCAACCCTTCATTTCTTAAAGTGTGCAGAAGTATTTTTACTTTCCTTTTTATTGTGTGCAGTTTTAGGACTTTTACTTAGGTACTTTTACACTTTTTTTAAACACTTTTTATACTTTTTGTACTTTTTATTTTTCATCAGTGAACATATTTTTTACCAAAGTAATTTTCTGTTAAAGTATTTTCATCTTTACTTAGTTATTTCTTTCAAGTACTTTAAAGACCTCTGGTAAAATATATAGTAAAGAGAACACAGCAGAGAGACTATGTTACTATGTTAAGGCACAAAATCAGAATGTTTGCATGCAGTGACAGGGCCTGTATTTTTCAAACTTCTTAGAATTACTCTTAAGAATGCTGCTAAGGGCAGACTTAAGTGTAAAAACATTCTGTTAAAATCAGTAAAAGTCAGTTATCAAGCATCTCAGTCTTACTTTAAGTAAAGTGTAGGAGTAATTCTTAAGTGTCAGTCTTACTTTAAGTGAAGTGTAGGAGTAATTCTTAAGTGTCAGTCTTACTTTAAGTGAAGTGTA